GAAGCCCGGAGCAGGCTCTGCTTCCTGCCGGAGCCCCTTCTGCTCTAGGTTTTGCTCTAGTTAAACGAAGCCAGAAAAATCTTTCTTTGCTTTTACCAACACGAGCTGCCTCTCAGCCAGCGGGAGGGCTTGCTAGCACCGTTCTGCACAGCGAGCCTTCAGCGTAGCCGAGGTCTTGTCCCTCCCCGGGTGACAACCACTATCACGTCACGAAACCTCTCCTTAAAGGAAGCACTCTAGCACGCGCAGGCACTTTTGCCCTGGGGGCAAGCCCGCTGTAGAGAAAACCTCACTAACTGTGGTATACTCAAAGTCTGCCAAAGCAAAAAATTCTCTTACTCGCAGACTACAGCCTGCTCGCAACAAAGCTGCAGCGCCTGAACAAGGAGCTCTCTCTTACCAAGCAGAGGAGACCATGTGTAAAACAACAATCAACACAGCGGTCCAACAGAAACTGCACGGGTATCCAACCCTGGCACTCAGGAGGGTTGCTCACATACCAGCAACAGCTCCCAGGGATGGTATGGTCTAATATTCAACTGTGCTCTCAGGAAGGACCTGAGTCAAAGTCCTGGGTTTTGAGGAAGCTCTAAAACCAGATTTGAAAGAGAGCTTTTAGCACTGAAATCCACGTTTCATGACACAGTCTTACACCATCATTTTCCCTTTCCTGGAAAGGCGACTCCCCTCCACACCCCAATTTTTAGTCTTCTCATATTCAAGAGTACATCAAGATAAAAGATAGCTGGACAAGCAACATCCTTCTTGGAAAGACTCTTTTTCCGTTCAGTTCTTCCCTTCTCAGTGTTCCATGTGATAGTCTATATCAACACGTGATAAAGGCTTAGCTGGCATCCCACTGCTGATCTGAATCCTTTAACACCAGTGCCAGCCAGCCCTGAAACTGACTTTTTTCCCACACTTGTATCTTAAAATTTCCCAGAACTCTATTTTTTGCGTAACAGAAGTTGCCCATTGATTCATATGCAGCAGGGAACTGCTCGCTCTCTTTCCCCTTGCTCGACAACATCTCACACAGAGTGAAAGTTTTGAGTTCCTTTTGCGGCTCTCTGTCTGGGAGAAAGGGGTGGTCTCAGATCTTTGATTCTGCTGTTTTCTCTGAGAAATGAGAAATACAGCATAACTTGCGTGCTTTTATAGAAACACCTCCGCCACCACCTTCCCTGCTCCCTCATCAGCTCCCGGAATCCCATGCACTTCCCGAGCACAGCACAGCAGGAAGTAACTCCAGATTAAGGCATTCCCCTTCGAAAGGTGACTTTGTTAGTCAGTCTGCTGAAACTACCGGACTGGCTGATGTCGGGAGCTGCTCTCAACTCTCTCACTGATGCCCTGCCCTGCCCAGCCCAGCCCAGCCGTCTGGATTTACAGCCGCTCCCTCCCTGGCTGACTGCAGGTGCTTCAGTTTGACTTAATACCCCAGTGAAACAGCATATTTTAGGTATAAAGCAGCTACTCTGAGTTGAACCACTGCTCTTCGTTTCTGCAGTTTTCTCCTCTTCACCCTTTTTGGCATGCAGGCACCAGACAAACACTGTGCTCTGGGATGTGGCTAAGGAGGGCAAAACGCAGACTCGCTCTTTGAGGCCTAAGGTGTCTCTTGTAAGGATTCACAACTCCTATTGGTTTCACGTAGAGCTGTGAATGCTCAGTGTTTCCTGTCATTCAAGCCACTGACACTTTACAAACTAATTCATTAGCCCAACCGGCTCTTTGAACAAGAGGATGCTGGGAAAAGAGAAAGCAATATATGTGGCAGTATAAAATACTATCTAGCTGGGAGGCAGTTGTTTTAGGGCCCTAAATGAATGATAGGATTCCTGCTTCTTAGCTGCTAAGGAAGTGATTTATTTAGTGCCTGTGCTGCAGTAATGGCTAAGTCATCATGGTAGCTCAGAGCCCCTTCTTCTGGGCACTGTACAGACCCAGATCATCAAAGTGGCAATTCTCAAGAAGCAGTCTGTCACATGCTTTTGCAGGGACAGACACTTGCATGGGTCTCTCTAGTTTGACTGAAGGATGCCAAGCCCAGCCAAGTCACTGTCTCCGGTATGAAGATAAACGTAATTGAAACAGAAAGATCAAATAACTTACCCACTCGTAGTGGCAATACTCAGCAACAAAGCAAGCCTCGGCTTCTTCTCATCTATGCCGGTTCATTAAATAAAAGCTGTCACCTCTTCCTCCTCAGCTCGTCTCTTTTTATCAGTGTGGCCACAACGGTATTACGGCAGCAGCACGACGAGGCTTAACACACCTCTAGGAGGAAGGAGATCACTTGCTTTAGGCTCCATTTAAACTCTGAGAACCCAGTCCCTCTTTGTTATAACTGTGTTCAAGTCGCAAGAGCTAAACCAGGGCGAGTTTGCGTCCCACGAGAGTCCCAGAGGAGACAGGGATTAGCTGCTGGAGCAGCAATCACCACCTGAACAGGCAGACTACTTCTGCATCAGCTCCCGGCCCTGGAAATGCCATGCAGGGAAAAAAGGGGGAAAAGCAGCTGCTTACACCAGGAGTGAAGGCAAGGCTGCCTGCAGGGGGAAACGTCTTCTGAAGGAGGCAATTCCCAGCAATTCTAGCTCCACAAACGAGCACCATCCATTCACACAGCCACATCAGCAAAGGGCTGGATTCAAGCAGTCAGTGACCAAGCGTTTTCTTCACTGCCGTACGTCTCAAGGAGTCTGTTCTCAGTGAGACTCCTAAATTCAAATTTCACTGGCAGTGCCCTCCCACCCAGATTCCTGCCAGACAGCCCTGAAACCACCCCATCTGTGTCTGCACCTAAAACGTTCAATCCGGTCCGGCAACTCAGACAGGAATACAAAAGATTGAGAGAGAGATAAAACTCACAGGGTGTCCTGTTACTTTGCATTCCAAAGAGTAAATAAAAGGCTGATTCACTGGGAGGAGAGGAAAACGTCATCCAGAAGCACTGTGGTTTCCATCTGAACTGGCAACCCCCGGAGAGCAAAGGAGCATGGTCTGGTGGTGAACACTGGGTACCGCTCGACTCACGATCTCCACAGGGACTGCTCTTCCTGCTTTGTGAGGCAAGTTGTCCCAGCATGATCCAGTCTCTCCATCTGTAATGCAAAGAGAATAATTACTGACCTTGGAGAATGGGCCCTGTAAAAGCGCACCGAGTTGCCCTCAATTGACCATAGGATGCTATGAGGCAGAGCCGAGTGGTGTTGCTACTTTCAGAAAGCTGTTCAATGATTGCTGTGTAATTTGGATGTGGACTTATCATTTGATCTCAAGTGCCTCTCTCAAGAGCTCTCAAGTGAGAGTCCTGCTCCCAAAACATGACCCTGGCAGGGATCAAAAGTAGCTTTGCCCCTTGCACCAGTAATACCAGCCAGTTTCTCCTGATTCAGCACTCAGGCAAAAGAGTGTCCATTTTATAGTGCCTGCCTGAGAGGATTAGAGCCGGCCAGAATACAGGGCACTAGTGATCAGCTCCCTCCTGTGGAAGGTATAGGCATAAGCAGCAACCAAAGCACATGACAGCATGCAACCACTTTGAACCGAGAAAGTCCACCCTCAGCCCTCCAACATGCTGCAGACAGCTCGGAGACTGATTTAAGCGGGATCTTTTCTTGCTTCTCTCTTCCTAATGGTGCCAGCCAGCCGACAGCTGTGGGACAGGGAATCCAAAGGACTAGACAATACATCATAGGATCCTGGCTTGCTCCTAGGACTATCCTATTTGCTGGGTCCTTTCATGAGCTCTTCCATGACTCGAGAAAGCAGAACCTCTTCCGTGAGCTCTGAATCAGCAACAGCAGTGTTTGCCAACCAAACTGTAACTGCAACAGAGTGGACAGTCTTGACTGCCTGGTTTCTGGCACTGTGTATTTTGAAACCTGGCTGCACACAGGCACACCCAAGTTTTCAAAGTCAGTTACGGTCCTGTCTGCCTAACAAGCTGCAAATACATAAGCTGAGACCACGACATAAGCTGAGACCACGACTTAGCTGGGTGAGAGATGCAGACAACACACCTCCGAGTTGCCCATTTCTCTTCTGTTTATTAAAAAGAAGTGGGGCTGGCCAGCACTCACTTGCCTTGCCTCAGGCTGGTCACAGAGAAGAGCTTTACTTTTACAGAAAATAAAGGTCAGACCATGTGATGACGTTAGCTCAACTGTTCACAACCAAAAAATAAATAAATAAATAAATAAAGATGCAGCTTTGACTTATCACTTATTCCTCTTATTTCTCTCACTTTTTGGTGGGGAAGACAGGGGATGGGGTATGTAGTTTTATTTTTTGGAGTTGTTCCACCATTCAGCTTCTACCATCTTTCAGACCATGATGTCTTCTAACTGTCCCTCTAGTGGGGTATGGTGAGACTGCACTGCGACCATGCCCAGCAGCAAGACTGGCATGGCAGCAAGCTCACCCAGCAGAGTTCAGTCTGTCAGAGGTGAGAAGTAATATGTGCCCTCCTAGATGCTGCTAGTCCCCTTCAGGAAGAGGTAGCAAGCTGGATAAAACAGCCTAGGCCTGCAGACCAGCTCTAATCCAATCTCCACTCTCAAAGTAGGATCACTACATATGTTTGTCTCCCAAAAAACAATTCCCCCCAAAGTCCCCCCAAATCTGTTCCAGCATATAAATGCCCTTATTTTCAGTGAGCTTTCATAGCATCCAGCCCAAATTTCCTTCACTGCACTGCAGTGGAAAGCTCTGACTTATTTTTCTATGTCTCTTCTACCAATTATCTGAAGCACTGGTCATATCGCCTCACCTCACCTCTCTGAACCATACCATCCACCTTCCTGACAAAGTCAATCCACTCAGGGGCACACTGGAAGGTTAAATTAGTACTGAAACAAAGCCCTGGCTACTCAGAACTTCCTCTGCCCTCTGCTTCTGCATTGCAGAGGGATTCCTTCATGACAGAGCTAGCACCTTCCTGCTTCAAAATAGATTTCAATCCAGCAAGCTCAGACATTTGCTGCTGGCTCGTGGGTGTGCACAGATAAACCGTCCCAGGGCTGAAGGAAAGCCCTCAGGTTCCCTCCAGCAGAGTCACTGGGAAACCCGCCTCGCCTTGCAACTGATCCCAGCTATAGAGAGACGAGAGCATGTCTCTTGAAGTATCTGTGAGTTGGGAACAGTGTGAGCAAAGTCATATAGGAGAGTAAGCTCCTGGGCAGCAGCAACAGGAGTAAAAGCTTGCAAGACAGGACATTATTCGGGCAGAAATAGCTATGAGGGGAACACTGTCTCTGCCTTGATGCTGCTTATTCATCCTCTTCCTTAGAAACTTTCTATCTAGCGCTGCAGGAGCACAAGCAGAACAAGGCATGCTGGGGAGAACTGGGACACTGCCCCAGATGAACGCTGATCCTCTCATTTAGGGACCAGCAGCCTTTGGCACGGATGGCAAAGAGAGCAGGAGGGTTCTCCAGGCTCAGCAGGAGCTGGGAACCACTGCTGTGCACGAGACGAGGTACTGCCAACCCACTGAGCAGCAGCAGCTCTCCTCTAACTAAGACACTTACAAAGTGGAAGAGGAACGTAGCTTGTTCTCAGATAGAGCAGCAACGACAAGCCTGGCAAAGGTGAACCTCTGCCGCAGGGGTGCAAGGACCACGCAGGAGGAAGAGGCTGTGCACCTTGTACTGCTGCAGAATGGAGCTGCTTTCACATCACATCAGAACTCTCCCAGGTGGCATCTGAATCATCACTTGTCTGAGCCTCATTACGAGGCAGGTACTCAGTATTCACAGGAAGTTTTGACCGCAAACAAGCCAGGGACAGCCAGGCAGATCTTGCTGCAAAGGAAAACGCGTTTTGAGGGAGTGCCTAGCATCTGCAATAGCATTCACAGTAGGAGGCAGCAGTGCGAAGTACAACAGCGGAGACTGCAGATTTATAAAGACAAGTGAAGAGCTGAAATATGACCTTTCTGGAAGCAGAACAGGTTTCCTTGGCTTCTCTGTAACTTCTGGTATTTGCTTCACGGTTTTTTGACTTGTGCTTTCATGACAAAGTCATCTCTAACTACTTTCCCTGAAAAACTGTACAGATAAGCAGGGAATCAGTAGGATTATGGCCTCAAGATATAGCATACATTTAAATCCAGTTACCCAAAGGAAAAACAAATAGACTTCCTATCTTAACTCCCCAGAGCGTGGGCCAGGAAGCCCCCTAAGCTCAGCATTCTCCAACCCATCTCCATGCACCCATATTGCCTCTTGCAAGATGCCTGTGGCTAAGCCAAAGGCTTTCATTCTGTACAAAAACAGCCTGACTATCCCTGCAGCAGGCACTGTCAGGGCCTTTTCCCCCCAGCAGGAGAGATGGGATGTATGGGGACAGTTCACGCATCCACACTGCTGTAGCTCAATGCTTTGGACTTAGGTTTTGTTCACCTCAGGGTGACTCTCATGGCTTGCAGTTACTAGCGTGCACCTGAGAGCAAGGTGCATTCGCCCTGGTACGTGCTCGCAGGGCAGCACCAGCACAGCCCAGCAGAAACCCAGCCCATGGGCCAGTTTCAGTCAGACAAGCCACGGCCACGGCTTGGATTCTAGAGCTGGGACTTTACTCAGACTGACAGGTTCTAGGTTGAGGCCACAAAAGGAAATCAAGTTAAAGGATAATCAAATGAAACTGAATTAAAGGAAGGAACACAAGTAACGCCTGAGAATAGAGAGCTCAGATCAGCCAGAGGAAGACAGATGTCACTGTGCACCTATAGCCAGAGCACAGGAAGGTCTCACAGAAAAAACTGCATGGAAGCAAGCAGCATCTGACATCAGGAGTTGATACACCTAGCAACAAACCCAGAATTACTGCTGTACAAAGAACCTCACCTAGAACTTTCTCCTGGTGAGGTGCTGGAGTGGACCGAAAATCTAGAGGTTCTTCACTCAGAATATTTTCTCTATTTAACTAAAGGGTTTAAACTGGTTTGGATCAAAGCTCTCGTTTGTTCCTTTCCATAGCAACAGGATGAGGCTTTTCTTGCTGGGTTTCTTCTTTTAAAGGCAGACTTCCTTACTGGAAGTTCTGACATCCAGATCCTCGAGGTTTGTTTCTGAAAGACAGTAACTCTTCCCATTAGCTTCTGGAAGTGCAGAATGAGTGGTGTTATCTGATTTCAAGACAGGAAGGTGAGAGAAAGATAATAGGCACTGTTCCAGTACAGCAGTAGATGAACTCCAATTAAATCCTAGTAAACTGAGACTTCACTGAACATCTGTAGGAGGACAACACTTGGCTAGTGAAAAAAAGAGAAAAAAAGAATCACTGACCTCAGCATTTCCAGCTCGGTCACGCAGCCAAAAGGGTGACCACACCTGACTTAAAGGATAATTCACCTATTGTGTAAGGGCAGAAGTAATCCTCACCCTCCATCCGGTCTTGTTCTGTGGAGGATTTAGATGGACAGACGGGAGATAGCATCTCACTTGTGTTTCTGTGAGAAACAGGCCACTGGCAAGCACTGAGCTCTGTCCTAAACAAGTCAGACGAGCCTGGAGTGCTCAGCAAGGGAGCCTGGTACAGACAGACAGAGGAGCTCCGTGGTCTGGGAGAGTCACTGGAAAACAGTATCTCATTGCCATCAGTCTGAACAACTCAGCTTGAGCGGGAGCAGGAGAAAGGCAGCCTGACTGTAGCAAACGGCAGGCTGAGAAAAACATGACAGAGTTCCATAAAATCACTAACAGACCTTTGAATAGGACTTAATCCAACTGTCACATCACCTATTTCAGTAGGAGAGAAAATACTTAGCCTTACAGCGCAAATTGCACAAATACTGACTGTTTGTCCTCAAGAAATTCAATCAAAGTCACAAGTCTATTAGTAGCTCTGGAATTACTGGTCTCATAGTAAGGCATTCTGGCTACCCTTTGGGGCAACAACAGTAGGTTTTGGAGAAGATGATTTGTATAAGAAGTGCTATGTTAGATTGTTCCAAAAAAATGATTCAGCATATGTAAACCAGCTCAGCATATGTAAACCAGCTCGACCTCTCCATCTGTCATTACCTAGGGCAATCCTACCTTCTCTTCCAAGCTCTCTCTAAACTCTCCATTTATCAGCACTAGCTCAGTTTAAGTTCTTTCCCATTCTCTGGGATCGTCCCAATAAATGTTTGCTGCTCAGCAGAGATTACTGAAATAACTTCCAGAACAATGTATTAGCGTCAGAAGGGCAAGCTGAGAAACAACAAGTGGCAGCTGGTCGTTTTTGCTGCATCAGTGACTTGTGTCATGTAGCCTTAGAGGGTTCTTGTCCCCTCAGTGTATATTCCTTAGCTAATCACACCTGAGTTCACGGAGGGACACGAGCATCTCCAGCACACAGTTCATCACCTCACGAGACGTGTCTGAGATACCACCAAACGGAAATCCATCCAGGCTCCTACTTCACAGGATGACATGATCCCAACTGCAGGGCCAATCCAGCTGAATAGTTTATGGGTTGTAGCAGGCTTTGTGCTGCGGCACCTACTACCTACGCACACCACTCTGATCAGATCTCTTTCACACGTACGAGCACAAACCTGGCACAGGCGCTCCGTGGGGTGCTCGAGCTGACCCGACAGAAACACAAGCATGGGACCTACCCAATTTAGAGCCAATCTATCCTGTTACATGCAGATTTGGTGGTAACGATTCCTAAACTGCAGCTTCACTCGAGACAACATGCAAGTGCTGCTGGTCACAGAGAGCAGACCTTTCTTGGGAGCCTGCAGAGTGTCATATTGAAAATCGTGTTTTAATTTTTAAGGAAAACCAGCCAAATGACCTTAAACAACAGCGACAGAAGATGGCAAATCAAAGAGTTCCCTCACTCTTAGCATGTGTCAAAACCTATCAGTAGCTTGCTTTCTTATAGCGATGGCTGTGTCACACAAAAAAAGCACAAAAAGCGGCCTTAGTAATGGAGAGATATGGCCTGAAACGGCCTTTCTTTTTCTGCTAATTCTGCTGCAAATTCCAGCCAGCCTAGGGAACACTATAGCTGTGCAGACTGGTGAAACTGGAGAATGTGGAAAGCTCAAATGTGCTGGAAGGGACAGGAATTAACAGGCCAGCCTGTTTAAACTTCCTGTTTTTGCTAACGTTTCTTGCTTACTCTATTTGAAAGACTCCAAAGGCCTTTTGCAAAAAACGCTAGACAACACGATGGCAACTTTTTAAAAATCAAGGCTCCCTTACCCTTGTCCCAAAAATCAAGCCTTAATTTCCCATCATCCTAAATATCTTCCAGGCACTCTAACAGAATAAGAAAGGAAGCTAATTAAAAACAATTAACTTCTGCAGATGACTTTGAATCAGAAAAAGAAAGCTGTGCCAGCAGAGAGCTACAAAGCAAAACTGAACAAACGGCCAGAATTCTTGTCTGCACTTGCTCTTCAGTGGGGATTGGATTCACCGAATTTAGCCACTCCCTCTCTCTAGCCAACGCGTTTTATGACCAGGAGTCTGGAGGAGGCTTTTATACAGTATTGCAGATACTGGGAATACAAGCAAGAGGAATCACCTTTTGCCATGGCCTGTTTTGAAAGAGTTGCTTCACAGATTTTCCCACTCCCTAAGATTGCAGAACTACCCAGCCCTGAACCAGCCCCAGCTCACATATAACCCAGAACTTAAGGAGAAGTGTACTTTTCTCTCTGCAGCAGATGGGATAGGAAGTGAACCAACCGGTGCAAATCATACAGGTAAATCACTTCTCTTCCTTCCATGAATGAACGGTATCATTTATATTCTTCAGTAGTTAATTGGGGTTGCGCTGGTCAGACTGAGCATGGTCTGAGGAGGGGCAGAAGCACTTGTGTGACAGAGGCCAGCCGCTGCAAGGTGAATTAGGGGAGGCCAGGGCTGCCCGCTGCCCAAGAAGTTTTGGCAGTAGGAGGGAAAGGCCTTTGTGAGAACTGGGCTCTTCAAAGTGTTTGGAAGAACTGTCTTTCAGTGCCATTTCTGTAGCTACAGGACATCTTTTATTTAAAGCTCTTTTCCCAACTTCCTAGAGGTTCTCTCTACAGCCCTCAGCAACAGCAAGTTAGCAAAGAGAGCAGAAAAAAAAATTCTTGGCTGTATGCTCCTTTTTTTTTCTTAGCAGTGGTTTGCACCTACTACAACTGTCCCGTCTCCAGCAAACCCTCTCTCCGTTGGCATTAGCAAGCAACAAACATGGGAAAGAG